ACGCTTCGGGAACGATGTTTTAAATCCCTGAACGTTTTAAAATGTGTCGCCCGCACATCTTATGGTGCGGACCGCAGGACGCTCCTTCTTTTATATCGGTCGATCGTCCGATCGAAACTGGATTACGCATGCTTTGTTTACGACTCTGCCAGCGAATCCAGTAAAAAGGCTCTTGACTCCGTGCACCACGCGGCGCTACGTGTTGCCACAGGTGCATTCCGCACGTCGCCCAAGAGCAGCCTCCTCGCCGAGGCACACGAACCGCCACTATCTCTCCGCCGTCAGATGCTGGGGATGAGGTACGCACTGAAACTCCGCCAGTTCCCAGGACATCCGACGTATCCGTACGTCTTTTCTCCTGATTTTAATCGTCTTGACAGAGTGCGACAATCGGTCTCCTTCGGATTGCGCATAAAAGAGCTCTTTTCTACAGTCAACATAGAGTTCCGTGAAGTGCGACGTACGTGGGGTACGCCCTCTCCGCCATGGAAATACGCTCCAGCGCAAGTAGACCTCACGCTCTCTGAGGTCAAGAAGGACGACCTGCCGCCATGTGTGCAACGAGCACGGGCATTGGAACACATTGCGTCATACGACGGTTTTATCTCGGTGTTTACGGACGGCTCGAAAACGGAGGACGGCGTCGGCTGCGCTTTCGTGGCTGGTCGCGACACGCGCACTTTTTCATTGCCTTCCTCTGCCTCCGTTTTCTCATCCGAGCTCGTTGCAATCGAGAAGGCGTTGTGTTTTATCGAGGTGTCTGACAACTTGTCTTACCTCATTTTATCGGATTCTCTCAGCAGCCTGCTGGCTATACGGAGGTTCAACCCAGACAATCCGATAGTCCAAGACATTTTATCTCGGCTCACGTCGGTGGAGCAGTCAGGCAAAACTATTAAGTTTTGCTGGATTCCAAGCCATGTGGGTATAACTGGCAATGAGCTCGCCGACGCGGCCGCGAGACGCGCGGCCGCGGCTCCATGCCTTCGGCGTTTGCCCCTGCCGGCTCGTGATTTTTACCCAGCCATCCAAACCTTCACGATGTCAAGCTGGCAGGCAGAGTGGCATCTCCAAGGATCTGGGAAGCTGCGGAGCGTGAAGCCTACCTTGGAGCCCTGGCAGTCTTGCTTCCAAAGCAACAGGCACCAGGAAGTGGCCCTCTGCAGATTACGTATTGGTCATACGTACGCGACTCATGGCTATCTCCTCCGTGGAGAGGAACAACCCACATGCAGTCGGTGTGCCGTGCCTCTCACTGTCTCTCACGTGCTTTTATCTTGTCCTCTCGCTGAACCGAACCGGACACGCTATCTCGGGCGCATCGCTCCGGATACCACTATCCGCCACCTTCTGGGTGACGACTCACCCTGGGTTTTATCCGGCAATATTTTTTCCTTTATCCGCTCGATCAACTTCCAAGCGATTTACTCGACCTGACATTAAATCCAACTAGTCCTCTCTAGTCCTTACATCTAGTCAGTTGTCTAGGACGACACTCTTGCGCTGCTTTATCTTACCTTGCTGTTTTATATCGAGTCTTTTACTTTTTAGTCTTCGTATCTAGAAGGTTCTCTCTTTTGACACACTTGTTTTATTAAAACGACGTTATGGGCGCAAAATGACCTAAGTAGTCGGCGCGCCCTAAAGCCCCAATTAACAAACAAACAAACTGGTCAGATGTGTGACTGTAAGCATCATACCGGTCGTGAAGACGCATAATATCGCTTGCAGACTTCAATCGGCTGGAAGTCGCCGACACTACCTCTAGTTTGACTCTGGCTTATATCGTGTCTATCGGCGAGCCGTCTGAGATCGCTCGCAGGCTTATCCCCGACCGTCTGAACTGGTCTGCTCTTTATTCGTAGTTTTTCTTGTAACCGACTGGTCTGCGGCAGATGCTTATGTGACTGCAACCACTCGATCGATCGGAAAGCTTGCAAGAACTCTCGCAGACCTCGATCGGCTGGAAGCCGCCGACACTATATGTAATTGACGGAGGCAGACGTCTTTCGCGATTATTGCATAAAATTTAAAGCCTCGGTCACACTTCACCGGATTGGACCAACGGACGAGAAACGGACGAGAACTGTCAGCGTCCGGTGATGTCCGTTTGTTTCCGTTGGACGTCCGTTTGTCATCCGTTAATATCCGTTCCATGTCCGGTGGTGTCCGGTTGAGCACACCGGACACCACCGGACATGGAACGGATATGAACGGATGAGAAACGGACGTCCAACGGAAACGAACGGACATCCCCCGGACATCACCGGACGCCGTCCGTTTCTCGTCCATTGGTCCAATCCGGTGAAGTGTGACCGAGGCTTAGTCCACTTAGTCCACTATAGTTCACTTTTTACCCCAAGAGGATATTGCAAACAATAGGTTGAATTTTTTCACAAGAATATGTTTCACCGATGGCTACTTTACAGCCTGAAAATGTACGATAAGATCTGCTAATTCAATTTGAAATGTGAAAAATGTGGAAACTTAGATATTTCGGAAAATTACTGGTGGGCCAAATCTTTGAGGCTGGTGGGCCATTTCGGGTCACTGGTGGGCCATTTGGCCCACCAGTTAACATGTTAGCCGAGGCCCTGCTTACAAGTTTTGTCTTTATTTGTGTCATCAAATCGTGCCGTTTTTGAAGTACCTATCAGTCAGCTGTAAGTGCGCAGTGCATTCCCTCGAAGCCTCTTCCTTATTTCGAAAGAACCCATCTCGTCAATGATCCAGGCGCGGATACAAGGGGGGGGGGGGGCCATGGGGGCCACGGCCCCCCCCCTTGGCCGATTTTTTTCAAAAATAAAATAAAAAGTTAAAAAGTTAAAAAGCTGAAAAGGGGGCCTCCTGAAAATAAAGTGGCCGAAATCCGATGAGTTTTTTTTTTTTTTTTTAACCTACCCACTTAGTTATTTCTTAGAAGACTAGCTGAGAAGACTTCTTTGTTAGAAGATTGGTAAAGCTTTTCATAACTTGGAGGTCTCTTATACTCACAGAGATGACCACTTTTACAGGGCCTCCTAACCTGCACAGAGGGCCTCCAAGCCTGCACAGATGTTGAGATGTTGCCTGAACAGCTAGATAAGCTCAATAGACGCAGTTTTTTTTGGGGGGGAAGATGGGGCCTCCAACAGGTGGGATTATGGGGGGGGGGGGCCTCCTGGTTTCTAATGGCCCCTCCCTTGGAGATTTTCTGGATCCGCCCCTGCAATGATCATCTGATGTGGCTTTGAGTTAATCCATCAGCTTATCAGGAAGCTGAGCTACCTTACGGCGGTATTTACATGCGCAACGCACAGCATTCCTCTCCCACAAACTACGTATGATCGGAGCGATGCCACTGAATAGTGAATAACCACCGCCGATCAATCTCATTTGGAAAATTCCACCGACATTTTATCATCGGTCCTACGCCCCCGTCCAATGTTTTCCGCTTCATTCGCGTTGAGGTGCTTACCGCTCCGCCGATCGCTCATACTCCACTGATGGCGCAGCGCCGCCGTTCGTTGGTGTGTGGGATGAGCACAGTCCGTACCCCCCCCCAATCCGGGGGTCGTCCGTCGCACCTCCCCCCCCCCCCGCCCCGCCCTCGTCTCTGCAATCCACGAACGTCGGCTCACGGCAGTGGGTGTACTGAACATTGCAGCGGTGGCGAGGACAATTTTCGGTCATCTTGCAGATGAGGAAATCATTTCAATTTGGCGCTGTTTGGAGTGAGTTAAGTGCCTCGCGAGGGGATGAAACAATTAAGTGTCGATAAAGTTATTTTAAATAAACAATAGTACGTATGGATTCGAAATTTTTAACGCGATGCTCGGAGAGTAGGTTGGCGCCTCTCAGCGGGAGCCCCCTGAGGGCGGGGCTCCGCCATGTCCCGTTGGTGAAGTTCAGGGTCAGTCTGCGGTGTACCCCTCCCGGGCCCCCGCAGCGGTGTTGGCGGCCGGTCTGCAACGGTCTGCCAGCCGCCGCCGGCCAGACAAGCCTTTTCACGGCCAATCTGGCGGGGCGCGGCGGGCGAGCCCCCGCTGGGTGCCGCCCGGGCGGGGGCGGGGGCGGGGGCGGGGCGCGGTGTTTGCGGGGCTCGCTGGCGGCCGGCCGCGCTGGATTCCGCGACAGCGTCGTCGGAAATGCCTCAGCGGCGACGGACTCGCTGCACTGGCCAAGGTCACTCACTGCGCGCAGCCGGGCCCACGGTGGACCTGAGCGGGGGGGGGGGAGGGTAGGGGCGCCGAACGCACGGGCCGAGAGGGAGACGAGGAGGGTGAGGGGGGGGGGCGGCTTCCATCTGCCCAGGTGATGACGTGGAGTGATTTGAAAGTAATAGACTCGATTCTGGACTTGCCAATTCTTTGTCCAATAGTATGAACATTGAACGCTGGCTGGATAAGCTACTCGGATCCTTACTCCACTGCATTGTCGTTTTGCTATTTACTACTTGTGATCAACTTCTGGACGTTTGTCCTAGAACGATTCTTAACAGAGCCGAGAAAATGGGTCTGCCCGGGAAAGTCAATACGGCGCTGAAGCTGCATCCTTAGAAATGCCTTTAAAAACCAAATATATTTCACAGTTCGATAAACAGTTTCTGGTTTTAGCCGGTTTCCCTAGGTGCGTAACGAGACGTTGCATCCGCCTGTGGGACGATTACTCTGAAATGATCGTCAATGACCTGTTCAAATAATCATTTGCTCCTACGCAGCTACCGTTGTTAGGTAACATAACTGCGTCGTTCGATAGTCCATCGATAGACGCGCATTTTTTATTATGTTAGTTGTTACATACTCCTCACCTCACATATAAACGCACTTTTTACACTGGCAGTATCTACTTGACTTTTTTTGCCAATGGACAAAACAAATAAGCTGCCTCCTTGCTAGTATTATCCTGACCGGAATGGTAGATAAAGGAAGAAGGGAGGCAGTTAGCTTTCCGTCAATGTTTTCATCCCCTCCCCTGATAGTTGTTTTGCACTGTGGTGAAACCCTGTCTCTCTTTTTCAGCAATTTTTCCCGGACAGTATGATCGAGTTGCCGAATGGGAAGAGTTCGGCCAACACCACCAGTCTGGCCAGGATTATCGCCCTGCAGGTAAGTCAGGTCGTCTCGGCGACGTGTGGCCGGTCGTGACTCGGCTATTAGTTATCGTGATGAGGCCGCTCCTAGTTCACCGAGGGACTCCCCAGACTGCTGCCTTTCGGAGCAGACACTCGCTTCTCCGCGCAACTATTGCGTCTGAGCTACTAGACTATGTCGACTGAAAGCATGCTTCTATGTATAACCACATACGAGTAAAATCCGAGCCGAGATATCCTCAGTACTCGCGGCTTGACTGAAAGGGAGCAGCTTCAGCTTCTGTCATTTCTATCTCATTTCTATCCCACTTTGCTACTGTCTTCCTTCTTCAAATATAAGACGCCGAGTTCTATATCCCGATGGTGGATCGTCACAGGCGGCACCCACCAACTGTCACGCTGTACTATCCGCTCTTCGCCGAGTGGCTCTGCCTGTGGCGGCTGAACTATCGATTAGCCGATGGAGAGGTCGGAGCTTTGGGTGAGCTTCCTCCAGGCAGCTCAGACAGAGCTCAGACAGCCAGACAGCGTCTTTGACAGCGTCTGAGCCTCCTTCAGACAGTGTGTAAGGCCTAGCTGGCCAGTCGCCAATCGGGGTTTCGTTTTTTTTTTTTTGGGGGGGGGGCTGCCGCACATTCCTTTTTCGTGCCACGTGTTTCGTGCCAGCTGTAGAAACTGCTCAGCTGAACGAAGACTGCGGTAACAATGTGCTGTTCGATTATGTTCGATTGTGTGCAATCGATCCACGGATATGTATAATTGATACCAGGGGCGGATCCAGAAAATCTCCAAGGGAGGGGCCATTAGAAACCAGGAGGCCCCCATAATCCCACCTGTTGGAGGCCCCATCTTCCCACTTGTTGGCCCCCCCCCCCCCCAAAAAAAAACTGCGTCTATTGAGCTTATCTAGCTGTTCAGGCAACATCTCAACATGAATAGCCACTTTATTTTCAGGAGGCCCCCTTTTCAGCTTTTTAACTTTTTATTTTATTTTTGAAAAAATCGGCCAAGGGGGGCCATGGCCCCCATGGCCCCCCCTTGTATCCGCGCCTGATTGATACCCGCATTTCAATTAATTTCTTTCGGAATATAGCTACAATTATTTCGTGAATGCAAGAAACAGTGCAAAATGTTTGCAAACAAAAAGTTGTTAAACATTGCTGCCATTATTATTTAATTTATTCTGAATCAAAGTTCCGCTGAATTCAGCTCGTTTGCTGGCATCATTTGCTCGCTGCATTATGGGACATCGGCTTCTGACCACAACCCTCCCTGTTTTTTTTTTTTTTTTGTATGCTGTTGTATGCGAGCGTTTTGTTACGCTGACCGGCGGCACCTGGCTGCTGTTTTAATTTCCGCTCAGCGTGGATCATTTGTTCCGCACGGCATTGTGCCTCGTTATCTTCATTGCTGCAACGTTCCGCTGTCGGCAGTTGCACCGTTAGCCTGTGATCGAATTAGCCATTTCCAAATTCCTGTGACGGCCGCCGGAAACCAGCGTTGTAAGATAATCAGTCGTTTGTCAACCGCAGTTTGAACTGTCAGGCTGGGCTTTTGGCGGCGCTCAGAGCTCCTGTCTTCCTATATTTTATCGCGCTCATCGTTTGTTATCGACTCGAGCTTACCATTTCGTTTATTTGACATAAGCCTACAATAAAAGCATGACTATGTTATTATCCGCTGACTACTCATGACCTAAGGTAGTGATAAGATGCGAGTGACATGGCTGGCAAAACTCGTCACAACGTTGAGTTTTGTTCGCGACAAATTTATCGTATATGCGTCTTTCGTAATGCAAACATGGCATGCCGTCAGTATGCAGCATCTTAGAGCAGTCATTTACATCCGGACATCATGACGAATTCGTCGCTCCAGCATTCGTCTCGGATTGTTTCGGCGATTAGTGGCGCATTCGTCTTTTTCTGAGTGCGGCTTGCTGTGACGCTGAGTGGCGTACGACGGCGTGTTTTGGCGCTGTTGTGGCGAATAGTGGCGCCCTGCGCCGCTATCTGTCATCTTGGGATGACAGCCGGCAGATCTGCATGTCACATGGAGGTCAGCAGACGGCTAGGGCGATTATATTTGGTTCTCTGAGGCGTCGGTTTGTGACCGCCGCGCCGATTCGCCGTCGGGCGAAGCAGAGAATGTGTGACGTGACGGAGCGTAACGTAGAGTGACGTGACGTCAGTCTGGTCATCCGTGACGTGCCAACAGACAGGCCAGCCACCGATTGGCAGAATTATGTCAGCTACTTACAGCGGGCCGTGGTCACGTTTTCTTCATGTGAAGCGCGGCAAAACTGCAGGCATTCGTGGTAATGAATTCGATTATTGGATCGGCTCAGTTAAAGCAAGGTTGTATTCGTTATTTGTCATTCCAGTTAATTTTCTCCATTTGGCATAATGATTGAAAGCCAGCACGCGATATGATAGTGATATTTTCATTTTTACCTGTCCACCTGTCCAGCTTCCACTACCCAATGTCCTGTCGTTACCTCTCGGCGCTGGATTCATGTCCCTCTACAGCCATCCCCATAGCCTACTACCCCAAACGTTCCCAATGCACCGGGCCGGCAGCTGCTGGGCTCGAACGCCCAGCTAACGGACCTCACTGCTCAGCTGCCGGTGCGTGGCTCTTTCCGCGCCAATCACTGCGCCGCTGACGCCGACTTGCATCAGCCGACGGGAAGCGCGTGGCGGCCGGTTGCGTCATCGGGTATGCGGTGCCGGCGGCGGCGGCGATGGCGGCGGGTGGGCAGCCTTTATGGACCACGTGTTTCCTTGTGATCGGATTGTCTGGGTCTGCGGTTCCGGGGAGGGGCGAAGGGGAAGGGAGGGAAGGGGAAAGCAAGTGGCACATGACGTGCGACGAGGAAGCAGACCATGACAAACACCGTCATCCGATGACACACGAAGATAATCCAGTGGAACTAGCGCGCTGAGATGGCGGTAGAGGCGGCGATAGCGTTGTTGTTTCCGAGCCGTACTCGACACGGCGTCTAATGCCAGCAGACGTACCCTGCGGCTATCGACCTGGTTAGCGGTACGTCGCCAGGAAGTCTGAATGGTCTCATTCAGCGGGATCAACTCCCCGAGCGCCTGTAAGCCAGGTTAAGTGAGCATATCGGAAACGAAGCGTATCCACTCTCGAGCTAATCCAATCTATTTCTCTTGCCGGGGCCGATATCCGTGGCAGAACTGGTGCACTGCGGTGGCACGGGATGTGATTAAATACTCCATTTCCATCCACACGTGGCTGAAGAGAGTCGTCATACAATCAGCGTTTTCCTTAGGCTGTCGGAAGGAGCCAGCGGATGTAGGTATTTTTCTGTTTTCTGTGAGCTTGAAGATGATCACGGAGTGTGTTCAGCGCAGCGCTGACACTCTTGAAGGGTGCTCCTCGTTCCAAGTGGCTCACGGAGTTTGCTTTACTCCTGCCCTCGATCTTCAACCCTGCAGATCGATTTGATCATTGCCTGAAGGCGGATACTGTATGAGCTGTTGCTGCTCTGTCACTTCCGGCCGGCGGATTGCACGCACATTCAACGAGATAAAGAGTCCCATGCTCTATAAAAAGTCTTACAAAGAGAAGCTGAGCCTATAAGACACGGACACTGTCGATCAATGCCCATTTCATTTTTTGAAAATGATCTTAGACGGGTGACATTTCCTGAAGCCTCTCGTATATGGGATTTCGCTTGCAGTCGTCACGCTCACGTTCATGGTCGTGAAGAAACCACACCAGCGCTTTAGAATATTTGATGTAATTACAAATTATTGCAGCCATTTTTCCATAGATTCCGATTAGGTAGTGAAGCTGTCATCACGAATTATTCCTTGTGCAGTTTCATGTGTGTGCTCCATTTGACCTAAAAGCCGCCATAACCACTTTGCAAACACCACGGACAAACATACGACCACGGTTACGAGCGGCCCCGTCGGCACTGCCGACCCGTTAACTGTCACGACCACTATCACGGCCAATATGCGCCGCACGGTCTGCACTCTGCATACTGCGGCACAGGGGCGTAATCCAGCGGCGGGTCACCGGTAGGTGCGGCCTGTGACGTCACACATCTGCGCACCTGGTGACGTCACAAGGACGGGTTCTGCGCCGCTGGACCGACTGACCGTGCGGCGGCCTTTGTGAGGCAACGGACAATGCGGCGGCATGAACAGAGGCAGGTCATGGCGACCCCGAGTGGCGAAATGACACCGGTTTGACGTCAGGCGTGCTCTCCAGCCGTTGCAGCACCCGGCAGCCGTGCCAGGAATGCTGCAGACACACCACCGGCATTTGTCGGGACCAGGAGAAACCTGCTCGGCAGAAATGCCATTGGAAAGGTCATTTCCAGACCGGATTTGTACAGGGGATTTTGCGGATATAGCGCTGCCAGCGCTGGTTATCGTTTTATTGCTGGCATGATTAAGTCTGCAATATATCATGCAAAGTCAATTGCTTAGGCATAGGTTCGGTTGCGCCTGACTGCATTAGCCTATTTTGATTAGGCTGATGCAGATATGTGATTTTGATCCATCGGTCACAGTCGTCTCCTTGATTTATTGCAACCTAAGTGAGGAATTACAACGTATGGCGAAATACTTCAAAATGAAAAGCTTTTTTATTCGATCAATAACTTAATGCGAAGCAATGCAATCTGTATTTGGAAGCCCACCGATGAACACGTGCCATCGTGCAAGTCGAATTGTAGGTATATAATCATGCACCATTCTTTTCCATGTTGCTGCCTTTTTCCAGAATTGCGCTCGCTGACACCAAACTCGTCATCCAGTGCACCGCTCAGCGCCATTTTCTGAAAACCCGCCGTCATAATTTCTCCCCTAACGCTAAACCAACTCTCATCCTTATCAAAACCATCCCATTTATCCGTCCATTCCGGCCGCACGCGGGGGTCCAATCGCTCTGGTATGGGGCCTCCGACACTCCTACCGGCCAGTCTAGCGCTACGTCGTGGGCCATGGGACGACGGCAGACACCGTTACCGAAGCCATGCACCGGCGCGGCGGCGAGCGCTGGGCGAGCGTGACTCAGATTTGGGGTACTACGCAGCAAGCGCCGCCGGCCCGTCTGGGCCGTGAGCGCTGTCTGGGCGCTGTCTGGAGAGCTGTCTGGGGGCTGTCTGGACGCTGACCGGGTGACCTTTGATCTCACAAGATCGACGAGCGAGTTCTCTCACTCTCCACTCTCGGATATGCTGCCATTGATTGTTCCGGTCTCCCTTGCTCTGCTCTGCTTTGCTCTGCTCTATTCTACTCTTCTCTACTCTACACTGCTATTTTCTGTTATCTCTTCCGTTTCTCTGCTCTTCTCTTACACCTTGTATCCTCATCAGCTATCGCCTACTCTTACTTCTCTCCTCTTATCCCCTCGTCTATTCATCTCAAGTGCCGTCTGCCGCCACCTGTCGCTGCTCTCTCTCTCTCTCTCTCTCTCTCTCTCTCTCTCTCTCTCTCTCTCTCTCTCTCTCTCTCTCTCTCTCTCTCTCTCTCTCTCTCTCTCTCTCTCTCTCTCTCTCTCTCCCTCTCCCTCTCCCTCTCCCTCTCCCTCTCCCTCTCTTTCTCCCTTCCTTTCTCTTTCTCTCTCTCTTTAAGTCATCCTGTGCACCGTGTGGCTACTTCTTCACTTGC